TTTTTTTATAATTAGTAAACCGATCAATTTAATGGATCATTCAATTGCAAGGTCGCTGAACAGTCATATCTTTCACTCATGTGAGTGTCCTCTTTTTATAATTAATTAGTTATATTTCTTCCAAATAAACCTCATAATTTTGATACATGATTTCAATTAATTATTTTAGTAAATTTGACACTTTAATGAGTATGATACTGACTGCGGGATTTACAACTCCACCACATTATATGGTTCTACACGTTCTTAGGTTACTCTTTGTTATACTTTGTATAATACATTGCGTTTTCTATTTATAATATGTATCTTATTTATAATACTGAAGAGGACCTTGATCAAAGGTCGAAACGTTTAAATTTAAATTTAGTTTAAATTTAGTTTATTTATAATAAATTATTATCATTGCACACTGACATCTTGTGTCGGCTCATATTGGCTTTTGAAACATTTCCCATTGATTTAAACAATCTTCTAATAAGTCGATATATTTTTCTGCGTTCATTCTGATACAAATTTTGCATATTGACGTCTTTGAATAACTATAAATGCAGTCCACACCATCCAGTATTATCCGCGGAAATTTATGCTTATGGTTACTGCCTTATTAGTTTATAAATCGTGCGAGTAATATTTAAAACTGTCAGGTCCATGTAGATTACGTTTTACGTCAAAAAATACATTTTTTCATTCTTCATGGCAAGTCATATGATTTCGAGCAAACTTTAATCTCGCAGTTTTATAGCCTTGAGTATGAGGAAGCATCAATGACTTATATTATCCACTTTAAACTTTTATCTTGTTGTAGTATTTACTATACACATCGTGTAGTCACCGGCAGTTTTAAAACTCTTGCTACTTCACCAGCAGTTTTATTCCCGTTTCGTATTTCTTTAAAATTCATGAACGATCACGTCTATTATAAGTTTTGTACTACCATCTGTATAATGTGATTTTCACGCAATCTCAAAAAATTGTCTATAGAATTACAGGATTAATTATCAATTTGTTGACGACTTCTCGAACAGAAATATCTGCATCACGGTATATGTATTTTTACTTGTTCTTCTGAACTGAAAAACTTTCCTCCTGGCATTCCGGTAAAAGAAAAATAATTTTAAATTATTTAGAAATTATAATATTATTCCTGATACTTATTTTCCCTGAGAATGATGTTTCCGGTTTAAATCATGAAAAACAACCATATATTAATATTGTTCTTATATAATAAATATTAAATATATATTTAATCTTTATATACTTAAGTATTACTAATAATTTACAAATCAATATTATTGTACTTTTTGTCATATATAATAGCACTGTTTTTTTGTTTTAAATATATAATTGCAAAGAAAGATGGTCAATTATTCGCAAGTAATTTGCCGCCTTTAGACATTAAACTGTTCTAATCTAAAACTTTTTGTTTCAATTTTTGTTGCAATTTCAAAATATTTGTTTTTGTAATATTTATGTTATCATATGCAATACTGTTTGTAATTGTAATATTAATTTCAAAAATGTGACATATGAATGTATGACCACACTTGATACTAATATCTTTCTCAATATAGACATGACCTTCAATGTCTAGCAATAACACGTTTGCTGGTACAATATTATATTTAATACTATAACGATTACCAATAATACGTTTGCTGGAACAATTTTCATCGCGAAGTGACGTATCTTTCGAGTGATCTTATACCTTTTAAAATATAGCACGCGATAAAAAACTTTTTATACATAATTATACATAAACTGTTAAACATAACTTATTCATAACAGTTACAAAATATGTATAACCGTTTATATATAATTATGTATAAAAAATTTTTTACTGACCAACTATATTTTAAAAGAGATAAGATCACTCAAAAGACATATCATTTCGCGATAAAAATTGTACCAGCAAACGTGTCATTGGTAGACATTAAAGGTCATGCCTATAATGAGGATGATGTTAGGATTAAGTGGTCAAATATTGATTTGACATACATTCTAAATTAATTACGATTACAAATAATATTGCATATTACAACATAAATATTACAAAAACAAATGTTTCGATTTGCTACAAAAATTGATACTTAAAAAGATTTGGATTAGAACAGACCCCCAAAGTTCAAAAACAGGAAATTATTTGTGAAATTATAATTGACTAACAATTTTCCTTGAAATTGACGGACATGCAGTGAGCGAAACCCTTTGGGTTTCCAAATTGAATGCTAAAGTACTAGTAGATCGAACACTATATACTTATTTAATTGCGAATTCGGTTGAATTACATATTATTAGATTAGTGCATACTAAAATGCTGTTATACATATGAAATTAGCATAGTTAAATATAAAAGCATATAAATATTTTAAATGAAAAAATATCTAATTACAATTAATGATTATATATATTGTCACGTTTTTTAGAGTATATTAATTATACATCAATGACCGCCCATTTAATGTCCATTTGGGCGCTCATTTTGGAGACACAAATATATATATACACAATAATGGGCGCTATCGAAACCTGAAAAGATCCAAAACGTGCTCAAAGCGCGTCCATTTCGTGCCTCCAAAATAAGCGCCCAATAGACGTTAAATGGGCGGTCATTGGTGTATTCTTCGGGCATCCATGGAACATATTTGGGATATGAAATGGGCGTCCATCGGGAGAACTCAGGACGTCCTTTGGACGCTCAATGGGCGTCCATGTGTTGCGTGGGTAGGACGACCTGGACGACTTCTTGCGTAAAAATTTCACCACGGTGATGTCTTCATCTATTGGAAAAGTACCAAATCATGATGCGCACAATTACAATTCCCCCACTATCCCCTACTGATTTAGAACAATCCACTACATGATTTACTTGTCTTAATTACATGATTTCGTTATGTAACTTTGTTACATGATTTTTTTCAGTAAGGTTCTATATAACTCGTTACTTTTATGAATTACTAAAGAAAAATAAAGTTTTACTTTTTCTATGTCGGATCAGTCTCTAAAACGTTTCATATTATTAGTAATTTTTTTGCTATTTATCAAATTTACATGAAGGGTAGGGTTTTCGAATAACATTAAAATATTCCTTTATAACATTACTGTTCTCTCTTATTATATAATATTTAATTACACCAACAATAAACTACAAATTACATCAACAACAAAAGCTATTTGCTCTAATATTGAAAACATCTTCTATCAGCTCAAATTATAAGAAAAGTGAAATTTTAATGATTATATGTTAGCAAATACAAATTAAGTTTATATTTTTAAGATTTTCTACACTTCAGGTTTCTATACTTTGGATAAGGCATACAACCAGTGCAATACTAATTATTTACTGAATTTATTAAATCGCACGCAGACTACTAAACTTGCGTTCCGAAACGGCATTCGCATACCACGTATCATCACCTATTTTCATTCTTCACTTTACGTTGAAAAAGGAAGAAAGCTATTTGTAAAAGAATTGATAATAAACGTTCATATTGTTTATGATAAACAAATTATATTTGTAAAGTTTGTTAGTTTATTAATTTTTTAATTTTTCTTACAAATGAAACTATTAATAGTTCTCTAATTATAAGAAAAATAAAAAAATTAATAAACTGAAAAACCTCATAAACATAATTTATTCAACATAAACAAAAATGTTTATTATCAGTTCTTTTATAAGCTTCCTTCCTTGTTCAACATAAACTGAATAATAAAAATAGGTGATGAGAGAGAGAGAGAGAGAGAGAGAGAGAGAGAGAGAGAGAGAGAGAACATTTGATATTTCAGTTTCAAAACGCAAGCTTAGTAGTCTGCATGCGATTTAATAAATTTATTAAATAGCTAGTACATCGTTGATATGTATGCCTTATCAAAATTTGTGTAGAAGTGTACAAAATATCACAAATATAAACTTAAATTTATATTAGCTGATCTATAACAATAATCATCCAAATTTCAATTTTTTTATTATAATTTGAGCTAATAGAAGATGTTCGTAACATTTTTTGCTCTAATTACAATCTGTTTATCATATTGATTAAAATGACTTAAAAATTAAAACATCAAACTGTAAATGGTAATTCTCCGTTAATTGCAGCCGCTACTTTTTTATTTTTCAAGATTGTCACATGATCACCTTCAATATAATGTACTTTTACTACACCTTGAGTTACCTTAAATAATTACATTCATCATTAAGAAAAACTTTCGTTAAATTTGATTTATTCTATACAAACCATAATAAATTTTTTTAAATACTTTATGCAAACCATAATCCTCTTCGATCATTGGTATATTAAACGAGGATGTACATTTTACCAATGTTATGGAAGACTTAATAGGCAGGAAAGTAGAAGGATCATATTCTCGGAGAGCGGATAAATGTTTGTAAATTGTCGTATATAGTGTCTTTAAATTTGAAAGTGAGAGATATGTATATATAATTGAGAATTGTTTAGCGAAAACATTAAATCTTTCATCCCAACTCTCACATTTCTTCAATTCCATTAAAATCTACGAAAATATAAACATTTTTGTTTTTGTATACAAGATTGTAAGACAGAACGAAACAATTGATATTGATTCACATAAAGAAATCGAAAAATAATATAAGTATACCGTAAATTATAATAGTTTTAATATAAGTTCAAAACAAGTTGCATATACCTTTTGAGAACTTCCTGCTGAATAGGTTTCCAGAATATTAGTTAATATATCAATCTGAAAATTTGCATCATTAAAATCTGATTCAAAAGGTTTGAACATTGTTCGTAAAGGCTCAGGAGCACCGTCAATAAGAACAAGTCGGCCTTTAAAATTCATAGCTTCTAATTTTCTTGTTACTTCAATTGCAATAAGAGATCCGAAGGAATACCCTACTATTATAAAATCTTTTTCGTCTGTTAGCTTCGAAAGTATGTGCTGTAAAAATATCAAATGTATTCGATGAAATTTATATCCTTCAAATGAAAACAATTCTTCATCAACATAAAATAAAATTACTAATACAATGCATACGTTTGTCAGACGATTAGTAGTCTCTGTTATCACATTTGTAGAATCGATGTTGTTTGCATTATAATGCAACAATGATGTTGAAAATTTAATATATGGTATTATGGTTTTAAATACAGGACCACATCCGTCAATCCCCGGTATAAGAAATACTTCAGTCGTAGTATTCTGTCTGTTAGTTGAAAAATCTGTTGAGAAAACAAAGTCTTCATCTTTTAATATAATACCAACTAAAATTTTTATAACGTCTGACTTCTCCATGTTGAATTTCTTCTCATCATTTGCATCATTGTCATTGATGCTTGCAACAGACATCTTAATGAGACTTGCGAAAGTGAGATTTCGTGTGTCTTGTGATGTGATAAATATATCAAATTCTCGTTCCAGAGTTTGCTTGATTTCTATAGCCATCATAGAATCCATTCCGAGTTCGGGCAGAGATGAATTTGGACTTATAACCTTTATGTCCTTTATGTCTACAATATAAAATTATTATGATCTGTAATATAATGCCTTCTGTAAATAAGTAATATAATATATTATAATATATGTAGTATAATGTCTTTTGTGAATTAGATTAGCAAACAAATATGATAAATATTTGCAAAAGAATAAGTCTCCATAGGACCTACTTAAAATATTAGCAATTGTTTCTACCAGATTTCCGTGACATCCCACTTTTTTTTCAGCTACGACCATGCTGCTCACAATGGGCCGACTTTGAAGTAGAAACTTATCGAGCTTGTTGAGACAGCAAGATATTTTTTGCTCTAGAGTGCCTCCGATAATTAATTCCTTATCATCCTCCATCATGTCAGCGACAAGCCCCACGTCACCCACAGCTCCCCATTGAATCGCCAATCCCGGCAATCCTTTCTCCGCTCTTTTCTCACAAATTCTTTCCATAATAGAGTTGGCCATGCCATAATTTGTCTGACCAGCGTTTCCTCTGCCGCAAGAAACGGAAGAGAATACCACAAAATGCCGCAGATTAAGACAGATTTCCCTAGAAAGCTTGTCTAACATTTGCGTTGCACGAGCCTTCGATTGGAAGGACTCTGCAAATGCTTCTGCAGTTTGATTTTTGAAGACGCCATCCCTCAGTACCACACCGAGATTGAATATAGCGTCCACTGGAGCTTCTTTTTCCGCAGTCCGTAAGAGATATTCGCAATCTTTGAGGTCAGCAACATCGATATTCTTGATGATCAGAACGTTTACGCCATACGATTTCCATAGTCGAACTTTCATGCGTTGGTAACCGTTTTTTATTCCATTTCTTGAAATCAGAACGATGTTTCTGGCACCACGAAATATAAGCCAGTCTGTTAATTCTAAACCAAATCCGCCCAGGCCTCCTAGTATAATGTAACTCCTATCTTTGAGACAATAATAGCGACGATACGCGAGAACGTGCTTATCTAAAGGTTCATCTTTTTCATGAATATTTATAATTATCTATAAAAATAATCGTATTATAAAAATGCATGTTATATGTGAATAATATGTTATTCAAGGCTGTTATTTATGAATGAACCTTTCTAATACTATTCGTTAACATACCTTTCCCATATGTTTTCCGCTCGCCATATATCTAAAAGCTTCTTTAATACCAGATTTTGGAAAAATTTTTGCTTGAATTGGTTTGATTGTTTCATTTTTTATACCATCGTCTACCATTTTTTTCAATGTATGCTTCCATTTACTATCAGTTCTTAACATCAAATTTTCCATTATAATGCTGTGAAAACTAATACCCTTTTGAAATGCAAACATACTTAGGGGATTATTAGAAACAAGATCAAATTTGCCAATCTCCATGAATCGACCGTTTTGAGCTAAACACCGAATGGAGGCGATTAATTTTTCTTCTGCCAATGAATTTAACACAATGTCGACACCGCAACCTTTCGTTTGATTCATAATCATTTGTTCGAAACTTGTATCTCGAGAATTTCCAATATGATCATCCACAATGATCGGAAACATTTTCTTAATGAAAGTCCGTTTGTCATTTGTGCCAACGGTAGTAAATACCTCGCATCCTTCTTTAAGAGCGACATGAATAGCTGCTTGTCCAACACCTCCAGTACCAGAATGTATAAGTATTTTATCACCTTTTTTTATTTTCCCATGAATGTATAAAGTTAAATAGACCGTGCTGTATACCACTGGGACCGTCGCTGCTTCTTCGAATGTCCACACATCGGGTATATTCCAACAAAGTATTTCATCTTTCTCAACGATGTTTGCTATGCAACTAAAAAGAGAAACTTTATTTATGTTGTCCATTCTATGTCATCGCAGTATAATAATTTCTTTAAGCATTACTTAGTATCACGAATTCCCATTACACGTTTTCCGTTAACATCAAAACCCACATATTCCATTCCAAGAGGAAGATACTGAAATAACCGTCCTTTTAAAATGTTCTCTGGAGATATTAATTTACCGGTGGCGAGCATTATATCTTTAAAATTCAGAGATGAGTAAACAACGTGCACTAAATTCTCACGACGAGACATGACAGATAAATTATTTTCTATCCAACGAAGTGTATTCAAGTCACCACGAACCTACGAAAAAACAAAACTTGTATTATGACATGACATACATAAAACCGAATTTTAAAAAGAAATTTGTGACAGTATTCAATTTTCCGTCTGTCAAGCAGAATTTTTCATATATTTAATAGATAAATAAATAATATTATAATGTAGGGACGCACCGGACATCCGAAAAGTATCTGATATCCGATATTATTCGGTACTTTTTTACTATCCAACGGATAGTCGGATATTATTAGTATCCGGGAATATATTCGGTCGAAATTTTATATTAAAACTTTGCATTATTGATACAGACTTTTATTCTCTTCAGCTGAACTTCGTATACAGTTCGTCTTTCTTCTATTTTTTTCACGTAGGGGAGATAAAAAAAAGACAAATTATACAAGAAGTTCAGCTAAGGCTGCATTCGGGGAGCGATATCAACAGTATCAACATTATCGTGTCATTCTATTTTTATCATTCATTAGACATAAAACAGGAATAAGATATAGAGCATGTTCCGAATTACACATGAAGCGCTTAATGCATCATTTCTCCTTGTTCATCGTTTGCTAAAAGAAAGATAAAATGATACATCATTCTACTGACGAGATACTATTAAAGACCGTTAACTCAAATTTTCGTCCATATAAAAGGGCCCCGAGATCCCGTGGATAATTTATGAATGCTGACATTATTGACAATTGACACAAATCTGCGATAATTAACATAAATATTTGGGACTTATTTATTTAACATTGAAAACGATCATTGATGATCGGCACGTCTTGTTTTATGTAATTTTAAGAATTATTAAATGATAGTAATAACCCGTTGTTGTTCTTAACCCTTTTCTATTACATATTTGATTTTATTTAATTGAACGTATTTACCACGAATTTTATGAATATTTGGATGACATATTATTAAATTGTTGATTTTTATTATATAAATGTTCTACAAATAAGTATGCATACTCATAATGCTATAATATCTTATATATTGCCGCAAAATTATAATTCTTTTCTGTACAATTATCTCAGTTAATAATCAAATTTGGACGTTAACATTAAAATCATTATTATCACTACTTCTCCCTTACAGACCCTTTTCTTTACTGCTCCTTTTTCTATTAATTTTTTTACTCAGCTTTTTATTAGATATTGTCCTGGAATCCGATCGGCTATCCGGAAAATATCGGATATCCGATTCGAAAAATTGCCTTCCCGCATATCCGGATATCGGATATTCAATGTTACATTTTTTTCGTATATCCGATAATTTTACGATTCGGACTTCTATTAACCCAGCAGGACTAAATGAGCAGAATCAATCCGGACCAATTAAATTTTTTAGTACTCATTTTGTACTAATTTGTACCACCAATAAAAATTTTGTACTCTGTGCCATTTTGAAAAAAACGTGGTGCTGCTAGCTTAATATTAAGCCAGCAAGACCACATAAAAAAAAAAGAAATAAAAGTTTTGATATACCGTTTGGCAGACATGGCCGGTTAGTACAGGTTTCGGTTCCGGTTGTGGTAATTTTAAATGTCTGTACGATCCCCAGGTTTTATTAGGTCGCAATACATTAATGGTCATATCTTTCTGCAATTGCTGTAAGTAGAAGGGGTCTTGAAGAGAAAATTTAGGAGCTTCCTCGTCTTGAACGAGCACACTCCTAACAAGTTCACTACCTGGCTCTTTTCTCAAACAGTTAATAAAACCCAATAAACCGCACTCAAAATTTTTCTCTCCCACAATTATAATTCTACTATTCCTGTCAAACTTGTTTTCGTCACTCAAAAGCGACTTTAGATTCTCCAGCCAATTAAAGTTATCATTACTTATGTAAACTATAGTTCTTTCTCTTATCGAAACTTTTTTTTTCAGAAGCACAACTAGTTCTTTATCAGTGCGTTTTTCGAGTATAACGTTTAATTCGTATTGCTGCAAATATTTTTTATAATCAGTTAAGTCGCACTTCTCACGAGTCAACAGATAACCATCCTTTCTCAAAAATGGCAACAGTTGCTTTAATGATGCGTGTTGTTTGGTCAAAAGGTTGAATCCAGCGACAATTAAAGCTTTGTCATCCAAAGATGATTTTTCAAAATCTTTGATTGAGAAGTTTTGCGGTAAGTCTTTTGGCTTGAAACGATTTGATGATGTTAATAGAGTGACATTTATTTGTATCAGTGGTATATCATCAAATGCCTCAAGCAATAACGAAGACGAGAGATGTTCTAATTCAATATCATCGACATCTTCTACTAGCTCAACGGCTTGCACTTTGGTAATTTGATGATCCTCCAGTACGAGTTGAGCCGATAACCGAATTGCTTCGTTCAAGGAAACTTTAGCGCGATCACAATGAACTACAAATGTATGTTCCTCGATAACAACATCTTGAGCTAATTTTCGGCGAGAGATCTGAGTAGCTTTCAGACCTTGAATCTCTACTCCGCCAGCTTTTATCGTGTCTATCTTTTTGTATACTCGCACCTGTAATACTGTAATAAGGCAAGTAAAATAATACGCTTCATATAATTGAACTCTTTACACAATATTTACGAATTGAACAACCCAGTCAGCAAAAAAATGTTTCAAAAATGTTTGATTAATGGGATAGATCCTTTTTTATTGATTAAAAAAATGTTCTTTTTACATTTAAAAAACATTTTAAAAACTTTTTTTTAACATTTAAAATCCGTTTATTTTACATTTAAAAAATGTTTATTTTATATTAAAAAAAACGTATTTTTAACACTTCATAACATGATTTTTTGATATGTGAATGATTTTTAAAAATGATTTTTTGACTTAAGTACATGTTTTTTTCGTGACGTTGGTAATTACCAATTGGTACAGCGCTATGTCACCAAAAAACAAGTGTTTAATGTAAAAAAATCATTTTAAGAAATCATTCATATAATATTAAAAATTCATATTATGAAGTAATGTTATGAAGTATGTTATGAATTATCTCA